GCCAGCAATAAACCTGCCTCTTGCTTTTTGCATCGATTTGTGATTGTGAGTGGTCTTTGGGTAGGCGACCCCCGGGGTGGGCACAACAGAATCAAGGTGCTGACAGATCACGCCCCACCCCCCACCCCGCGCCCCAAGCCAATAGTGGAGAATCCTTCCCTGCTCCATGGAGCTTCCACTGGCCCTGGGCATTCCTTGGTTTCTGCCTCTATCTTCATGTGGCCGTCCTCCCTCTGTGTCAATGTGTCCCTGCCTTAACAAGACATTCTTCCTGTGTTTCTAATCCAAATTTCCCTCTTCTTATGAGGACAACAGTCATAATGGATTAAAGGCCCACCTGACCCCAGTACAACATCATCTTCACTTGATTATATCTGCAAGAACCAAATACGATCACATTCGCAGACACCAGGGATGAGGAGTTCACAGTATCCTTTGGGAAGGAGGAACCGACACAATTCAGCCTATTAACAGATACCCTGTATTCTGACTCCAGAGATGCAGAGAAATGAATCCGTTTCTCTAACCAGTTACCCTTTTGATTAATGCAAGATTTGCCAGTGCTCACATCACCTCTCTGAATAAGAAAAGTGGTTAAGGCTTGGCGCCTGTAGCCAGCCACATACACGGAGGGTGGCGAGTTCGAACCTGACCCAGGCCAGTTAAACAGCAATGACAACTGCAACAAAAAATAGCCAGGCTTTGCGGCAGGTGCCTGTAGTCCTAGCTACTCGGGAGGCTGAGGCAAGAGAATCGCTTAAGCCCAAGAGTTTGAGATTGCTGTGATGCCACAGCACTACACTAAGGGTGACATAGTGAGATTCTGTCTCAAAAAAGAAAAATGGTTAAAGGTTTGAGGTTCAAGGTTTCTCTATATACAAAGTAAAAAGAATACATTCAATATGTAACCATACTTTAAGGCAATGACAAACCTTATCATAAAAATAGCAAGTATTTCCCAAAAATGAAGCCAGTTAATATACCGAAAAAAATTCAAAGCATGAGAAATATTTACAATCTGCTTACCTTCACACACTGCTAATTTATTATGCACCTCCTTTTCTTCCATTAAGGCAACACTTTTAAATTTGGACTAATGAATAATAATTACATAATGAGACCCAGGTGCCGTGGCTCACACCGGTAATCCCAGCACTCTGGGAGGCTGAGGTGGGTGAGACCCAGGCGCCGTGGCTCACACCTGTAATCCCAGCACTCTGGGAGGCTGAGGTGGGTGAATTACTTGAGCTCAGGAGGTCAAGACCAGCCTGAGCAAGACTAAGACCCCCCCTATCTCTACTAAAACTAAAAAAGAAAAAAAAGAAAACTGAAAAAGTAAGGCAAGAAGATCACTTGAGTCCAAGAGTTTGAGGTTGCTGTGAGCTATGACACCACAGCATTCTACTGAGAGGGACAAAGTGAGACTCTGTCTCAAAAAAAAAGTATAATGATAATGGAGTTGTCATAATATTTTATGACAACTGCCTATAATCACTGATATTTCATATTTAAAACTCCTAATACAAAAGTGCCCATTTATTTTGATTTTTTTTTTAAGTCAAGCCCAGGCAAGGCCTGAACTCACAGCCCCTGGTTCGCAAGGCCAGCATTCTAACCACTGAGCTATGACACTCAGTTTATTTTGAAAGCTTAATGATCCTCTGGGATCTGCAGTTAACAAATTAAGATTACAGGTAATTTTTTAATTTTTTTTTTTTTTAGAGACAGAGTCTCACATTATTGCCCTCAGCAGAGTGCCGTGGCATCACAGCTCACAGCACCCTCCAACTCCTGGGCTTAGGTAATTCTCTTACCTCAGCCTTGTGAGTAGCTGGGACTACAGGTGCCGCCCACAACGCCCGGCCATTTTGGCTATTTTTTTCTTGCAGGTTGACGGGGCCGGGTTCAAACCTGCCATCCTCGGTATAATGGGCTGGTGCCCTGCCCACTGAGCCACAGGCACCACCCTAACTTTTAAATTTCTATTAACCTCACCAAAACTAGCCTTTAAGGAAAAATGTAAACAAGGCATAAAATTATTCAAGTAAATGGGTATATTTCAGATTTTCTCCTATTGATAGCTTCCCTGTTCTTCCAGAGTCTAATGGGAACTTAAGCTTCTGCTCTACAACCATCTCATTCCCCTGTTGTCCTGAGAAATACACTCACCACGTACTAGCAGCCCGATTTTCTCTGTGTGCTAGGAAAACAAGAGAAATGTCCACAGCTGGCTAATTCAGAATTTGGCCCTTTAAACAGATTTAGGGAAAGTGCCTGGTATGAATAACTATTAATCAACCCACTGCTCAAGAATTATTCTTTGAAATGATTTTGTTGGGCAACATCAGATATAACTAATTAAATGACTATATTCACAGTAGTGTGACTTCAACGGTGACAAACACCACACATGTCCCTTCACTCACTTTCCACATCAAAACACAGCATTCAAGTCAAAACCTGCTGATGAAGGCAAATACTATGAAGAAAATGTTTCCTAAAATCAAACTTTGAACCAAAATTCTATCTGCTTTCTTGTATTCCATCAATTATCCTGACTCAAACAGAAGTGAAAGTACTAACAGGTCTTTCCAAAGGTCATTTCTTATTTTGGAAGAAACGAAGAACCTATATTTTGTTTTAAATAAAATTAGAGCCCTTCTCTAGAAAAATTATATCGCTATTAACACAGAATAATTTAACAAGTAAAATTCTATTTTACTAGTACATATTAAGATGCAATTTTCAGACTAATGTATTTACAGAACATTTTAGGAGCGCCAGTTGCTCTCCCCGGCGGCCCCTGTCATTACCCGGAGCACATTCTCAGGATGGAATGCTCAATGATTAGAGAAATAACTGATTTTTTTTTCCCCAAAGAAAACATCACAACACCAGTTACATCCTTTAAAAGTCTGTATCACTCCACAGAGAGTGTAGAAATTTTCTTTGTTTAAAAAGCAATTATGAAAAAATGCAAAGCAGCTCGAGTGACAACCAAATACAGTTAGTGCTTCTGACATGACCCACCTCACACGGGCTGCTCCGCAGACCTCTCGATCCTTCTGGGGCAGTCCCAATTTCAAATCTAGTAGCTCTTATGTTTTAAGACAATATCAAGCGTGTGTGTTTGCACACGTCCATTCATTTACTGAAAGCCCTCTCCTTTGCAAATTCTGTCACCATAATCGTCATCCAGCCAGCTCCAGCTGCACGCCTGGTGCACCTCAGCTTCCCTCTGTATCAGGGAACCAGGACTGTACCGAGGGGCTACCCAGGATGATGCCCACAGAGCGTTCATCACAGTGACTTGTCTCACGGGGGGCGCTCTGTAAACATCAACCCCTGTAATTCCTAATGAATCTGCTTCCAGGTCAGGACAGGGAGGTAACTGGTTTAGGGCTGCTGCTGATCATATTTCACCCAGGAACAAATTCCAATCCATAAATCTCCCAAGTATATCAAACCGTAACGTGAGGGGTCAAAGGCACTGAGGGAGTGGTGTCTACATTTTCTGAAGATAATTCTAAAAAGCAGAGGGGAAAAAAATAAGAGAAAAAAAAAAAAAGATCAAGGAGTTGGTAGCTCACTCCTGTAATCCCAACACTTACGGAGGCTGAGGCAAGAGGATCACTTGAGCTCAGAAGTTCAAGACCACCTGAGCAACATAGTGAGACCCCAACTCTACCAAAAAAATTAAATATTTTCAGACATGTAGTCCCAGCTACAAAAGAGTGGGGGAGGAGAGATAGATAAAAAAAGAGAGAGAGAGAGAAAGGATGGTTTGAGCCCAGGAGTTGGAGGCTAAACAACAGAGCAAGACCTTATCTCTCAAGTAAATAAATAAACTGTATTTTAAACCTACTACAGGTTGAATAGCCCTAATTCAAAAATGCTTTATTAGAAATGTCCCAAAATCTGAAACATTTTGAGCACCCACATGCTGTTCCAAGCAAATGTTCACTGGAGCACTTTGGATTTTGGAGTTCCAGGTCAGGAACACAGAACCTGTACTTATTACAAATGTCTCACTATCAGCCTTTAAAAAAAAAATCTACCTTCTTAATATTCGAATTCTAAATGATACGTAAGTTTTAATAAAGGACCCTCTTCTGTAGCACAATAACAAGGAGTTTGCAATTTAGAGCGCTTCACCCCAGCCAACCTAATGTCGCCAATAGTAAATAAATATCAGTTAACCTTCTATCCAGTGTTTTCACCTGTTATTACAGTAAACCCTCCCCACACCACGGCCGTGTAGGTAACACTAAAGATAATTTTACAACAAACTGTGGTGCAGGGAGGAAAAACCATTTACCCAGGCTGCCCACCTCCATCTACAAACACCAGAAGGCGGCCTCAATTTCTGTCCAGACCTCAGGCCCATGGTCCCTTTAGACCAGTGGTTCTCAACCTTCCTAATGCCGTGACCCTTTAATACAATTCCTCCTGTTGTGGTGACCCCCAAACATAAAATTATTTTCATTGCTACTTCATAACTGTAATTTTGCCACTGTTATGAATCGTAATTTGATATGCAGGAGACCCCGCAAAGGGGTCACGACCCACAGGTTGAGAACCGCTGGTTTAGAGTATCACAAACAGTGCTCACTGGGCAGCGCGTATACTAAAACAGGAACATACGCAAGTCAGCGTGGTCCTTGCGCAAGGATGACACACAAATTTGAGAAGTGTTCCATATTAAAAAAAGGAAAAAGAAGAACGTCACGGACAAAGCAAAAGGTTAGGACACCTAGTTGCTTGGTTTGAGGGCACACTCAGTAAAGCCATGGGGAGCAGGGCCACAGTCTTTGAGGACATGCTAATGAGGGTTTACTTTTACCAAGACACTTCATCATGTGGAACTCAGTAATAGAC